GATTTCCTCCCAGAGCTTGCACCTCTCACCCCTTCCCACACCCAAATCCCTCATTCCCACCCCAGAGCCTACACATCCTGTCTCAACACAGCAAGGGTCCAGCTAGACTGCAGGAGTTTTTCAGGATTCTGGAGATATCCCAGAAAAACTCTTCTGCATCCAGGGTTGCGTTTGTTGTTCTGCTTTTTTAGTGGAAGAGCAAACAGGCTCTTTTGGTCACCCCTATATTCCTCTTTCCACAAGGAATAAGGTGGCTTCCAAAAGAAGGGCTTTTTTTCTGACATTTGGTCCAGTGTAGACAGGCCAAATGTTGGAAAAACCTCTTCCTACAGAAGAATAAAAAAAAATAAGCAGCAGTATAAGAATTGGAGATAGCAAGTGATGGAGAGGAGGAGAATAGAGAGGGCGGGACTTCAAGGAAGGGGCGAGGCGGTAGATCTTGGCTTGGTCTGTCATTTAAAAAGTGATCTTGGGTGTAAAAAGGTTGGAGACCACTGCTCTAGCCAGTGGTTGGTCCTGCTCTGAGGGTGTGGGACTGGACTTCATAATTTCTTGAGGTCCCTTCCACTTCTAGTATTCTATGAGGCTGAGCCCTGTGGTGGGGGCCATCCAGAAATGAGGCTGATCCCAGTGGTGGGGGCAACCTGGGAACAGGGCTGGGCCTGACATGGGGCGTGCCCAGCAATGGGGCTGAGCCCTGTAGCAGTGAAAGGGCTTCAGCCCTGCAGCTGGGGCCACCCAAGAATGAGGCTGTAGCCAGTGCTGGGGATGCCAGAGAAAGGGGTTTCAGCCCTGGGTTGTGGGTGCCGGCAGCCAGGCCTCCTTTTTGTGTGTGTGTGTGTGTACAGGGCGGGAAGACACACACACTACTGCCTGGTTTTTCCCTCAGCACCCTGCCTGACACCACATACTGGTGCCTGCTTTACCACCAGCAACAAATAGGAGGCTACTGCAGCAGCACTGACCAGGGAATTCAGGGACCAGCAGTGGGCATGCAAATATGGGACATTTTGCCCTTTTTGAAAAAAAGTCGGGATGCCTGGAAGACAGCTTAAATACGGGGCAGTCCCAGTAAAAACGGGACAGATGGTCACCCTGTGTATGATAGCATTATCTCATGTTCCAAATCCTATATTCAAAATGGGATCCTCGCTCAGCTAAACCCATGTTGGGTAACATATGTGGGTGAGATGTTTTCATACTACAAATTGTATGGTAAAGTATATGGTAGTATGCACTATTTTGGTGAGGTTTTGGAAAAAGATACGTAGCAAGACAAAACAGAGCTCTAAGGGGTGGTCCTTTTCTGTGTATATCTTTAATAAAGTAGCTTGTATTCAGAGGTGTGCAAGTGTTCCCCACATAGAATTCTGTCATTCACACACTGTAGGGGCACCCACACTTATCCGTTCTTGGGTTCAGGTGTAACTATCCTTAATAAGGCACCCACCCTCCCGTTTCTAGGGCTGAGGTATAAACTTTTCAATATAGGCACCTATCCTCACCTTTCTGCAAGCTCAGATGTAACCTTATACTTTGTGGGTTTGTGGGGGTCTTTTACCAGTGAAAGACCCTTACACAGTGATAGCCTACTTAATCTCTATTTATTAACAGTCATCATAAACAGATGCACACACCAGGCATACAGTGCTCACCACTCCCAATGAGATAGATGAACTTGTCTAGATGGCCAGTCAGGAATGGATCAGGTCTATCTGGCAGACTCCAGTTTTAGCATGGTGTCATTGGCATAGGGTTGAAGTCTGGCAGCTCTGATCTTCGAGCTGTGTCCTGGAGTTCGTTCTCCAAAGAACTTCATTTTGGTCCTCAGGTTATATCGTGAAACTTGAGTCCTGCTTAGCTCTACCTTAACCACTTACTTTACTAAAATGTTACTAACCAATCGTAACATACTGTAACAGAATTACCAATCAGACCCCACCATCTTAGTTGATTGACACATAGCAAAATTAATTATACAACAGACAAAAATAATTAAAAACCAGACCGAGATTGTGTACACAAACAATAGGAAAGTGAGAACCACAATGATAAAATAAGGATTGCACAATCCCAACTATTGATAAAGAGTTTCTTGCCAGATGAAATGCTTTTAAACTAAGTTTTTCTTTACCTATCTTGAGATCTGTTTCTTTATCTGATGATTGTGAGTGCCCTAGGGACAGGTTCTCTTTAACAGGCCAGTATGGCACTGTTTTGATGCAATTTAGATGGAATTGTGAGTATATGACTCCAAGCTTTACACCTAATGGCTGCTGCTCATCAATCTGGCTACAGAGGAAGGTTTTAGGCTTTCTAATATGGCTACTGGCCTTCCAATATGGCTACAGAAAAACCATATTGTTACAAGTACAGAAGAATTTCCAAGATGCATCTTTGGCTATGTCTATACTACAAGCTAGAGTTGTGATTCTCTTGCTTATACACGCACACTCATTTTAGCTCTCACTCAGCTAGCAGGAGTATAAATTAACTATGTAGTCGTGCTCACATGGGTAATAGCAGCAGAGGCATGGGTTAGTCATGCTTAGTAGAAACCTTCCTGAACCAATGGGTGCTGTAGCCCATGCTGATATGGCCACACTGCTACTTGCACTTTTATTAGCTTTGATGAGAGCTAGTGCGAGCATGTGCATGCAAGCAGAGGAATCATAGTTTTAGTTTGTAGTGTAAATATAGTCTATAATGTGCCAAAGTAGATTAGATAAAAAGATTAAACTCTTATTTCAAAGCATTAATAGTATGGGTACATATTCTGAGACAGAGAGAGAGTGAGGCTATGTTTATACTGCGGAGTTAAATCATAAAAGATACGCAAATTGCAATTTGCGTATCTTTTTCCTTTTTTTTTCCCGAAGAGGCTTTTCTGAAATTTGGCCAATTTACATGGGGCCAAATTTCGGAAAAACCTTCTCTTTCGGAACATCCCTCATATCTCATTCAATACATTCCATTCCATTCCATTCCATTCCATTCCATTCCATTCCATTCCATTCCATTCCATTCCATTCCATTCCATTCCATTCCATTCCATTCCATTCCATTCGGTTTAACTGTTAATTTGAACTAAGGGGTTTATCTCGGAATCGCGCTTCTCTGCCGTGTGTAGACGCGGGCAGTTATTCTGGGGTAGTTAGTTTCCAAAAATGGCGACTGCCTGGGAACATATTGATGAAGCGCAGGATATTTAAATCCCGTGCTTCATTTGCAATTTCAGTCGCTCTCATTAGCCTCCCTAATTCGAACTAGGGGGCTAGTGTAGACGTACCCTAAGGGAATGACAAATTAAGGTAGGTTCAAACACATACAGTATTGCTAGTGTGGAAATATATTGTTACAACTGGATTCAATTATTCTGGGAATATTAGACAAGGAAATTCTGAAACAAATGTAAACAATTTTTTTTACAACAGCATGTTTCAGGTATTTTGAAAATATATGTATTTGTATTTTATCTTTTTCATTTTAAAAATTACTTGGATGAGCAGATTCCTTACAGAATATATTGGAATTTTGAAATGAATATTTACACAAATTTAGTTTGATAACATAGTGTTTCTTCTGTGGCAATCTTAAATAAAATGTCATCAATCTTATTGGCATAACTCATCATTTCTCTTTTCTGGATCAATAATAAAAATGGAGATTTCATATCTTGCATGACACTTTTCTTTCATTGGAGCTATTCTTTGGGATTGCTGAAATATTAATAGGTGCTCTGTCAGTCATGGTGCAAAACTAAAAATGTTATCGTTGAAATCCTTTAAAATGTGTGGTATTTGCACTTGAATTTTGTAGAAATATGCTTCCTGTTTGTAATTGACATTCTTCCTCATTCTAGATAGAATATAATACAGATTCTGTCTGTATTTCTTGATAATTATGTTCTTATTTTCAGTGCTGTATGAAAAACAAAAACAAAAAAACCTAAGTTATTAGATTATTCATTTAATGAATATGGTTCAATATAACTGGAGCATTTTTGTATAATTAAACATCTTAATTTAAGATTTGAGATAGTGGTTCCAATGTTATACGACATTTTTTTTGTTTTTCCACAGAAATTAGGCATCAGAAGGGATGGAAGAATATAGTGCACGTAAAGTACTGCATTACCTTGTTGTGTCTAATATTTTGTTAAAATCACAAACTCAACTCATTTATCTCAAATTCAGAGGTTTTTTTCAGATGAGGTAAAAGAAGATCATGTTAATAGAAGACTACAGTTAAAGTGAGACAACTGTGTAACTACTAAGCATGCTGACTGGTATAGGCTTTTTAATTTTTTTTATTTATTTCTCTGGCGTCTATGCAGAGATCTAGGCACCCTACACTGACTCATCAATTTTTCAGTTGCATATTAGGATCACTGTAATAGTTTAGGTATGTGATACAAAGTCTTAATTTTTTTTTTAAATTGGAGATACAGTAGTTTAAAAATGCAGCATGCATAGTGTATGCTGTTAACAGAATCAAATCCCATGCACATCAAATTATTAAAGATGACCTCAACCTTTGAAAAATACAGTTTAGTTTTCAAATAAATGCAGACTTACATGGCAAAGTATTTTAACAATATTTTAAAATCAGTCAAGATGAAAATTTGTCAAAATGTAAGATTACAGTATGTTTGGCCCTGCCCCTGTATACCCTGTTCAGGATATAGCAGAGTCCTAAACTAAGGTAAATTTAGGCTCTACATTTGCTCTATAGTCTTGGGATGTCATCTTAGCAATCTGCTAAAATGAGTTCAGGATTTGAAAATATATATTGTAAACGTACCTAAATTCTGTTTCTGAGTTAGTCTCAAACGTTATTCACAAGAGATTTGGCTTAACATTGAGCATTTAAATGGAATCTACAAAGTGATAATCTATTAGAATACATTGTGGATTTGGGTGTGCAGTACTCATTAAGGCTGTGATGTCCAACCAGTTCTGAAGCGATAGTGAACTAGCACTCAACCAGCCAAATAGCCACATTGTTCAATCCAACTAGTCACACTCAACCAGCCATATAGCCACATATGGCTAGTGTGTTGAACACCATGACATTAAGGAAATTGTATTCACTCCAAAGCATTTATTTTTGGCATTTTAGTGGAGTTTTAGGTATCAGATGCAAAGATGTAACTCATAAACTTAAAAACTTAATTTCTCCAAATACTGCTTTGTGAGTTAGGGACAAGTTTTTTCATCTGTGTTAAGCCTTCTCTAACCTAGGGCTTCATCTACTAAGTAAGCAGTTAGATAGCTGCTTCAGACAGTGCAGACAATTCTTAATAGACCCTCCATGAGTTTGATATGAGAGAGATGCTGGAGTGGGAGAATAAACTCCTTGCCCTCTACCATTCTAACCTTCATAGTCACAAACTAACTCACAAAACCACCTTTAAAAGGGATGGAGAACAGATGGTGTGGTGTGGTGGCTCCACAACCTGGACACCAGCAGTGTTGAAGGAATTTACAGCATAACTACACACAGCTGTGTTTTACAGAGTAACACTCACCATCTCACTCTTTATTAGTATTTTCTATCCCGGCCTGTGTCATTAGGTCACTGACATGCTTCTCAAGGTCATCAATACGTTCACCCATTTCTTCCAGTAAAAAGTTAAAGAGAACATTCTTATGTATAGCAAGAACACAGTTTTGCTGATTTTCACCTCTGTGAAATGTTTACCAGTGAAAAGTTCCTTTCAAATGCCTCAACATCATATCCATTCATTATTCACGTATCAAATGCAGAACTGAAGCTGAAAAGAATAATACAAAATTGGATTGCAATAAGTCTTCTATTATCTTCTGCTATCTGATAAGGGTCATGCTCTGTATGTGTTTTGAATGTTTATTTGAATTCCTACCTACTCAGTGGACTCAGAACAGCCTAACAGTCTGGTTATTTTGTGAAGAAGTTGCTCAGAAAGACAGAACTTGATGCTTTATAACACACTTTTACGTAACAGGCCATAGTGAGTTATATGCATCTACCAAAGCTAGGGTTGCCAGGTGTCCGGTATTGACCCAGACAGTCTGGTATTTTACCTCTTGTCCGGTAAAAAAATTCAGAAAATACCAGACATCTAAAATGTCTGTTATTTTCTGATTTTTTCCCGGCCAGAAGGTGAAAATCCTGGGTGTCTACCGAGTTCCGCAGGAGAGCTGTCCGGCCCAGAGCAGGGAGACAAGATGGCAGATGGCCACTGGCAGCCTGTTAGGGCTGAAAAGCCTCAAAAACATTTCCTAAAGGGTCACACTGGTTTTTTTTAAATTTTAATTTTTTTTCTTAACAATTCTCGGAGTCCTTTTTTTTTGCTCAACAACTTTGGCCTCCCCCTTTTTCTTCTCAACAGAATTTTTTCCCCTGTGATTTTTTTTTGGGGGGGGTGTTTGGTATTTTTGGTTAAACCGTCTGGTAACCCAATCTAAAGCTATCTATAAGGTCAAACTTGAACAACAGAAATATGCAATGAAATGTATACAGAAGCTGAATTACAAAAATGTTGTATGGAAATGGGGCAATAAGAGAAGAGAGTAGTTGCAGCACAAGATAAGATGTAGCAAGTTTCCAGATATATGGCTCAGTTTCTGCATTGTTAATTAGTGAGGCCCTATTTGTTCTCTGCATCTCTCTCTATTTTGGCCCAATTCTCCCTTCCCTATACATGGAAGGCTAATAGAAAGTTTGTACTTCTGTACTTTCTACTTGTTATGCATAATACACTAATTTAAAAGGCAGTTCTTACATCTCTCTCCTTTTCCTCTTTCATTGTTCTTACTGAAGTGATTGTACCTGGCCTTCAGGATATTGCAGACAACTTGTCACATTTTTTATAGACTTCTGCCAGCAAGAACTGCTGTACAGTGGCTATTCTCTACTATATAATTACTAGCTTTCTTCATAGGAAAGGTAAAATATTTAACTATAGTACAATTTGGATATCTGTATAAATGGATGGGTACACAGGATCTTTTTGAATACCGAACTAAAGAGTATGTGTACCCAGATCTTGATTTTTCAAATGAAATATCTGATAAACCAATCAGCTGAAACAGTTAGTGTTTGTTTATATAAGCTCACTAGAAGATTTACCCAGAATTTCTTGGGTCCTTAACTCAATTAATTTTTGTTTTTCTTCATTTAAATCAGTGGATAACAAACAGACCTTTCCTCAGACCACCAGCCAACTATCCATCATGACAAAATGGGTGCAGGAGGAGGTGAGGAGTACAGAGTCTGGTAGGGAGGTTGAGGGCAGGAGTGGGCAGAGGGTGGGGGAGTTTGGGCATGATGGGTATGGGAGGTGCTTACCTGTTCCTGTCCCCAGCTCCTCCCAGGTACCAACTCCACTGCTCACATTGGCTGTGATTCCAGCCAATGGGAGCTGTGGGGAAAGCCTCCAGGCAAGCCGTTTCCTGCACTGCCATTTTCCCAGCTGGGGGAATAGAAGCATGGAGCTGCTTCCTTTTCCTGAAAGCTGGATCTCGCCCGCGAGGCTTGCCCTCATCCTCTGCAGTGAGAAGCTGGTGCTCCAACCTTGTGGGGAGGCCATGGGGCTGGGATGCCAGCATAGGCTCCCCATTGTGGGGCTGAGGGAGCCCTGAGCTTGTGGCCTACATGCAAGATGATAGTGGACCACTAGTGGTCCACAGACCATATTTTGAGAACCATGATTTAAATCATTGCTTTGGGGTGGGGCTGAGGATGAAGGGTTCAGTATGCAGACTTCTCTGGGGAGAGAGAACTATCACAGCCATTTCCACAGCAGCATCTTGAGGCCAGGTGAGAAGTGCCTCTCCATGGCTGCTGTGACTCCTGGGAGCACATCTGGGGAGGGGTGCATGTCTTCTTGAACTAATGGATGGACAGACATACTTGTTTGCTCACAGACTAACTCAGATATATAACAGATTAAAAATCTTACCATATCTACTCTAGTAATCCAGTAACATACAGAATAATAAAAAGGATATTTCTCAGAGTTAACTTATCAGTCAAAGCTTGAAAATTCTCCTGCAGCTGCTGTAGTAGGTTTTCCGCCTGTAAAAAAAAAATCCATCCAAATCAACAAAGAATATACTGTCTTAACACTTCAGGAGAGCTTTCTATTTTGTGAAAAAATAAAACATGGAGTGTGATAACTTCATTAACAACAGTGTGCTGAAATAGAAAGAAAAGCAAATGAGAGAGGCAGTGTGTGAAAGAGATGCATAGTAGCAAAGAAGTTCTTTGGATCTTATTGTTGTCTGCCCTATGCTTTTAACTTGTGAAAGAACAAATACAACTATTTCTTTCCAGGTTGGCTAGGAGACGCGTAACCAGCAATCTAATTATTAAGAAGATCATCATGAGACACAAACAGTCACTCAGACTGAAGGTATCATTCAGGGACCACTCCCAATCCGTGATGAATCAAGTAATTAAAAGCTGAATACATTTTCTTTGACTTCTGCTTAGAAATGAGTCCTGATCTCATTGTGCTTGCTTCCCATGTGCAAAATGGGAATACTTCTGTCAAGTGAGTGTTTGTAAAGCATATTGAAGCCCTTGGACAGAAGGCACTACCTGTGCAAAGTACTATTATTGCCACTAATTAAATAGTACCATTCTCTTTGTTAGGATGATATTAATTGCTCTCTTCATCTATAGATCTCAAAGTGGTTGTGTAGAGGAAGTGAAGCACAGCATTATGTTCATTTTACTAGAGTTGCCATATTTGAACTTTCAAAAAAGAGGACACTCCTGAGAAGGAGTGTATCTGTATCAGTATCTACCAACTCAGGTTGTATTAATGTGTTATATAATACTGATAGTATCAGAGGGGTAGCGTGTTAGTCTGAATCTGCAAAAGCGGGGAGGAGTCCTGTGGCACCTTATAGACTAACTGAAGTGTTGGAGCATAAGGTTTTGTGGATGCATGTAATATAATACTGATAGATACTGATACAGATACACTCCCAGTTGGTAGATACTGAGCTGGTAGATACTGATACAGATACACTCCCAGTTGGTGTCAAGTATCAAAGGGGTAGTCTTGTTAGTCTGAATCTGCAAAAGCGACGAGGAGTCCTGTGGCACCTTATAGACTAACTGAAGTACTTCAGTTAGTCTATAAGGTGCCACAGGACTCCTCGTCACTTCCAGTTGGTAGACACTGAGCTGGTAGATAGGGATACAGATACACTCCCAGTTGGTAGATACTGAGCTGGTAGATACGGATACAGATACACTCCCAGTTGGTAGATACTGAGCTGGTAGATACGGATACAGATACACTCCCAGTTGGTAGATACTGAGCTGGTAGATACGGATACAGATACACTCCCAGTTGGTAGATACTGAGCTGGTAGATACGGATACAGATACACTCCCAGTTGGTAGATACTGAGCTGGTAGATACGGATACAGATACACTCCCAGTTGGTAGATACTGAGCTGGTAGATACGGATAAAGATACAGATACACTCCCTCTCAGGAGTGTCCTCTTTTTTGAAAGTTCAAATACGGTAACTCTAGTTTTCCAGGTGGCAAAACAGGCCCAGAGGGCCAAAGAACAGGATCAGTTCAGGAAGCTTGTAAGTGTAAATACAACTTTGGTAACAAACTTTTCAGCGCGTGGAATGTTCCCGCGGTGTCCCAGTGAGAGCTGCTGCCCGAGACACGATCTTCCCTGCTTCCAGGTGTAAGGCAGTGGGGCTACCCCATTGCCGCTGGGGCTTTGCAGGGGAACAGGCACCTCCCACTGGATCCCAGCCCGCGCCCGGCCCCCGCACTCACAAACTGCGAGAGGTCCTGCACGCCCTGCGGGTCGCTGTCTGCCATCCCGGCCAGCTCCGGCTGCTGCCTTGCCTCCGCGCCGGCCCCTGAACTCCTCCTCTCGCTGCCCGCCCCCGCTCCAGCTACCGCCTCCCTCGGGCTCCAGGAGGCGCTGAGCAGCAGCCTTCCCGGGCGGAGAGACGCGCCCCCCAAAAGTCCACCTCTTCCTCAGCGACGTGGGGTCTTGCCAGCGTCCCAACTCGCCGCAGTGCCCCCAGCAGCCAGCCCCACAAAGCTCTTCCTTCGCACACCTCGCCTGCTGCCACAGCCAGACACTCCCCAGCCAGGTACCGGGCTCACACTCTGGACACCCCCTCACAACCATTTCCACGCACAGAGGGATAAGGATAGAAATGTAGCCGTGTTAGTCTGGTGTAGTTGAAGCAAAATGCAGGACAATGTAGCACTTTAAAGACTAACAAGATGGTTTATTAGATGATGAGCGCTGACAAATACATGGGGACACTGCCCAATTCTTTGTTTCTGACACACGTACATACACAGCGAATGGATAAACACAAAGCGTGATGAGACTGAGATGTGGACTGATTATGACCAAGGCGCTGGCAACACACACACGCATCCACATACATTTTTTAATGTATATGACTATCTTAGAAACGAGTGTTCAAACCCGCTGCGTTCCATTCCCGATGCTAGCTGGAATGTTTCCTAACCTCAGAAAGTACATTTATGTCTGTATCAGTATTAAATTCGATGGTTAAACAGTAGAGGGCAAAATATTTTGCAAAGAGCCCACTCCTATTTAATCAAGACCCTACCTCTGACGGTTGATTGGGCATTATTACAATATTTTAACAAATGAAGCTGGTAAAATCTCCACATGAAATAAAATAGCATTATAAACTACATGCAGTCATTTTAAATCTGAGAGTTACATTCAACTAGCTCAACTGTCTGAGTTATTAAAAAAGTGAAGCACAAGGAAACAAACAAAAAAGCTGTTTAAAAAAATCCAGAAGGAGGGGAGCACAGAGAAGGTCATTCCTTTGTATGGAGAGATTTTATTTTACTTGAGACCATAAGGAAGAAGGTAATATCTGTAGGAAATGGCTTGAACATGTCAAGGGTGTGAACCTAATTGGAGGGTAACTGAACTATTGAATTTACCTTTGTTGTTTGCTCAGCATGCCTTAATGAGATTGTACTGCACAGTGGAATTTCAGGCACTCCTCCCATTTATCATTTGAAACCTCTGACTGATCAGGTTTTGCAGCCTTCAAAGATTGTGTCAGGTAAATGCTAAGTGGAAGGTTTGGTAGGAACTTCTTTTTCCTTTGATTTATGCACAAAGGGTTAAAATGCATTTGGTCATGGCTCTGTGTAATAACATATGGTATAGTTTTGATACTCAACTTAGAAAAAAACTGTTCTGGTAAATTTGGTTTGATAGATTTTTGTACTGAATGGCTTTGATTTTCTGTCTTGTGCTCAAGAAGTCATTGAATTTCCTACAGCTGTGGTATGCCTTTCTTTACGGCTTAGTTCAGTAATCCTCACTGAAGCTAAGACATTGAGCGGAGTAATGACCAAATAATGAAGTAGTGGCTTGATTTTCCAAGGTCCTGAGTAACTATAATAATTTCAAATGAAATCAATTACTCTCTCCCTACATGATGGGCTACAAATATTATTTCATTCCCTAGTCATTCATATTTCTGTACACCAACCAGGGGTGCGGAACCTCAGGCCCCATCCCTGGCTTGCTTGGATCCAGCCCCTGAGGCTCAGTCCCCACCCCCAGCACTGAGGAGCCTGTGCTGGAGCTCCAGCCCCACTGTTACCCCACCATTCACAAAATCTAGGCTGGGCCCCCCTAGGCTCTGCTGTGTGAGGGGAATGTGGGAAGTGCCTTTCTCCTTCTCGGTCGGGGGCCACATCGGTGAGTGTTTGAGGTTTTTTGTTTTTGTTTTTTCCTTCTCAGTTGTGTGCCGCTCCCAGCTGATTTTCCTGTGGGTCAGCAGCCCCCAACCCAAAAAAGGTTCCCCACCTCAGCTGTACACATAAAAATTAAATTAAATGCCTTACATTGCCTTCCCTTTTAGAATGCTGCACTGTACAAACCAGCCATGCTAGACTGTCCTGACTCATCTGTCTGAGTATTCCAAACTCTGCCAGGCAGAAGGGCATGTGTGTAATCCCTGGGTTCAGTCCTAACTGTCCCAAAGCGTAATATATAGTAAGTGTGTCTCATATTATGAATCCAAACTCTTCTGAGGGGGTTATATATAGTAAATAGGGGTGTGAATGATGATGAATGTAGGATGCTTTCAAGAAGGTGGTAATACACCTAAAGCAACAAGTTATTGATTTTCCCATAGATTTTAAGCCACATCTGTCTGGTTTGTCTCATACAGTGAGAACTTTAGGCAGCTGTTGAGATTTTAATGCATACAGCATATTTATTAGAGCTGGCTCTGTAGCTCATGATCTCCTCTATTGGAGTCCCAAATACCTAAAAGCACCTTCAGAGAGAGAAGGTGGTAATATCTTTTATTGTAGCAGCTTCAACAGAAGCTAAGATGATACCTCACCCACCTTGTCTTTCTAATATCCTGGGACTGACATGGCTACAACACTACTACATATAAAAGGTCTTTAGCATAGATGGATAAGTGGCTTACAACGGCTTGGAACAGAAGAGCATGCTGCCACTTAGGAATCCCTCTAGAACTAATAATGTTCTTTTGCCAGAAGGATGGTAAAACCATTGGTAGTAAAGTTCAGTGAGTGGGAAAAGAGTGAGGATTTATAAATAATTAAAGGAAATATGTAAAGTGCATTTTACCATGATGTTTGAAGCAGCACCATCCTTAGAGAGCATGCAGGGCTCAGGACAACTCCCCCTCCACCCAGACCTCACCCCACCTCCTCTTTCCACCCCTCTTCTGCCCTCACCCCGCCCCCATTCCACCCCTTCCCCCAAATCCCACCCCTGCTCTGCCCCTGCCTTGTCCCCTCCCACTCCTATTGCACCCATTCTCCCAAACCCCTACCCCTGAACGATGGGACCTAAGGGATTACTTGGGGGCTCCCCCCCAAAACACTCCTTAGTGGCAGTGGAAAGTGGAGACACCCGGTCTAGGGATGTAAAATCCTGATTAAACAGTTAACCAGTTAAGGAGGATCTTGACCCCCATGCTGAAGCTGGGGCTGCTGCCAGCTCTTGGCTCCCGCATTGGGGTTGGGACTAGCTGCTGGCTCCCGATGCTTTTGCTGGGCATGGGGCTGGCTGCCAGGGCTGGTGCAGCCTTCCACCCAAAGCGGGCCGTGAACGGGGAACTGCTCCTGGGGAACCAGTTAACTGTTACCCAGTAAGCATCACCCACCAAGGTGCTCCCCCAAGCTGAATTCCCAGGTGCATGAGTTGGGTGAGTGGAGCAGGCTGGGGTCAGGGCACTCTGCTTCCTGTTGCTGCAGCGAAGTGAAAAAACCTGGCGAGGAGATGGTGGGGCAGAGTGGAGCAGGCTGCTGGGCCTGGGTTGCTCTGTTTCCTACAACTTCCACCATTGTTGGGGAGTGCAGGGGTGGGCCCTGATCCCCCCACTAATTCCCCAGGCCACGTGGGGCCTGCAGAGCCCAGGGCAGCTGTCCCAAACTGTCCAGTGGACAGAGGTGGCTCTTGTTTGAAGTCTTGCTGCTGAGCAGAGCTCACAGGATTCTCTGAGCCAAGAAATTTTGTGTGTGTGTGTGTGTGTGTGTGTGTGTGTGTGTGTGTGTGTGTGTGTGTGAAAAACACAAAACTCAATGATAGGAAGTAGTATCTTTTGACCTTGAGTTGCTCACCCACTTTTAGCAATTGCAATGTATACTTTTTTTCTCATTCTAAGATAATTATGTGTTCTTTCATTTGCCTTACTGGGTCTTTCCACCCCTACAGAGCACACACAGACAACCAGTTTTCTTAGGGTGCCAACTGTGATGCAGCAGGCAAGAAGGAATGGATCTGAAATGAAGTAATGGGTGAGGTTTAACAGAAGGCAAACCAAAAAAGGTTCCCCGGCTGAAAAAAATGTTCCCCTGCAGCTGGAGTACCAGCAAGAGAAAGATGTAAGACAGGTGAAAAGAGGGGGAGGAGGGATTGGGTTCACAATTGTAAATCCAGGTGTGCAATTCAGCTTGGTGATACTGAGTCTATGGGTACAGGTCTTACAATTCTGGATTTATAATGCAATGAGGACATACCCTCAGTGTCTAGCAGCAGCCTACCATCCATGCTCCTGTAATGAATCCGTAGTTCCACAAAACTACGCAGTGTAGCTCCACAAAAAGTTTATCAAAATTCCAAGTACTGAGTTCTCTAAGGCCGCAGTCTTGCCTTTTGGATCCATGTGAGCTGAACCCTATACTCCACTGGCTTTAATGGGCTTCTACCAGGCCTATGTCCCATTACAGGACTGGGGCCTAATTTATGTCTTCTAACAACTATTTATAGAACAAAGTCTACATAAAGGTTTCCAGGACTTCTAACGGTACTAAGTCTATAATTAAAATCCTTGGTCTGGAACCACTAAATGCTAATCTAGATCTAATCTGTACACTACTCAGTCTTGCTTACTCCAAAGACATTATGAGCACTATCTTAACAAATGCTATCTCTAAAATATTTTCTTAACAAAACTCTGGTTGTTCTGGGTTATCACTGGGATCTTGGGAACTACTACTTTGTCAGCAATATTATGCATGCTGGCACCTAGTTTATAACTAATGATGCTAATAGACTCATTTTAATCCTTGTCTTGTAGCATTACTGCAAAGCACATCAGAATGAAACCCTCGATATCAGCCTTCAAAACAAGTGATGTTTGACGGAATGTCTGTCTCTGGCATACCAAAGTTCTCATCATCAGGAAGGATTGTCCATCAACAGGAAGGATTTGTAATAAGGAATTCTGCCACTCCTGATGTAGCAAAAATGCATATTTTGATATTGATTATAAGTTTGATACATAATTTGATGTAATGACTTGCTTATAAGTTCTATAGCTTCTATTTCTCTCTCTGTATCTCTTATAATTAGATAATGTTCACTGCAAGGCTTTGCTCCCTGTTAAGTATTGCAAATTAAATTGTAACCCTTGTAGCTATTGATCTTGTTTGAAACTCTACAATTGTTTGGTGTGAATGGAGGGTATGTGTGAGAGAAAGCGGTCACAGATGCCCAGGTAATCAAGAAGAAGTGGAAACTTTGAAACATTCATTGTGGCTTGAGGCTGAATTGAATTGGCAGCATTGACAAACCTTGGAGACAGGCAGAGACCCCACCAAGAGTGAGAAACAGCTATGGGAACCCTGACAATCACCATCAAAGGAATACAAATTAACACTTCCTAAGGGCGGATGACAGTAGCATGACACTACAAAACCCACAGACTCCAATGGAAACTGACATGGATAAGAAGGGAAGCTCTTGCTATGGGACTCTGGGTTCAGTCCTGCAAGTCAAACCTTGGAGGAGACTCAGAGGAACCCTGACTCCTCGCTCAGTCAGCCTTGCCTGGGACTTGAGCCACCATGGACTGGTAATTATGCACCATCTGCAGGACTTGTGTGTGTATATGTAGGTTTGTCTTTATAAAGCATATGCTAACTGCTTCTCTACTGTATTCTCAATACACACAATGTATTGCCTTCTCCCCTGAAAAAGATCCCGTGTGCTTCTTATAAGCATAACACTGAGGGTAAAAAATCTCCTCTTCCTTTTCCTCCTGTTTATTGACTGGTTTTACCTGGCCAAAGGGAATCAGCCTAGAGGAATGTCCCCCAACCCGCTTCTATCGTCGGGAGTTTGTTCCAGGCCCCAAGAACTAAACTGATGACCAACAGGGTTTTATTTAACAGTTCGAACAAGTAAGGAATAACTATAAACAGGACCCCACAAATAAAGGATAAATAACAAAGGACAAATGTTAGACTGCAACTTAGGTGGACTTGAAGGAAGACCTCAGATAAGTAAACAGTCTCTACCATTTCCTGCAGCTTGAAGGACCCTCACGGTGGTGGAACAGCTCCGGATTCCATGTCCTGATGTCACAGCAGGCAAGAGCAATCAGGCTGGATCTGCGCTCGTTCTGGTGATGAGCAGCCTAATGTCCCTTTCTCTGCGCTGTCATGGGTGTTTGTGCGTGTCCTAATCAGAGAGGGATGGCAGGTGACTACACATCCCTTGCATGCAGGTAGGTCTCCTTCCCACAACTCTGAGCCTATAAGCGTGGTGCTGGCGTAACCTTCTGAATGACCGTGGACTCTGCCACTCAGATGGGCAGCCCCTTGCGGTGCCAGAGGCAGCTGTTAAATGACATTGGGTTGCTGGGCAGATTTGGGTCACATATCTGCTGAGTTTCCCATCCAAATGCAGAAAGGGCAGGAAACTGCCCTGAAAGGAGGAAGAAGGGTAGCCAAAATGGAGTCCCTGTTGTTGTTTTGGTCTGTGCCCAAAATGGCATTTCCAGATTTTCTCTCTACAAGAAATAATGAAATGTCTGATGGGGATGGTCTGCACATGAATGGAATTCTTTCTGTGATGGCCTCAACTTATTGAACACTATCTCTTCAATTAAAAAAACAGATTCCTCCTTCTCTTTTGCAAATATTAAAGATCCAACTGATGGAAAATAAATCTGGTATAAGGTCTTACAAGGTCACCTATCCTCCTTTATCTGTGCTCAGACCTGCAGGTTGCTGAACTTATCCTTGATAAGATAAGGATGAGCCTTCATCAATCAGTAATGTTATCTTCCAAGTATTAGATGAGCTCTGTTTTTCCAGGAGACAATCCTTATCCCTCTGTGTAGTTGAATTGGGTAACTTTTGTATACCAGATAGAAGCTAGTCTTCTTGCTTCCTCGTTTTTTTCCAGCTGGCTAAAATACTTCAGATGAGCACTGTGGTACCTATGAAGATGTTCTTTTGCCTGATGCTCATAAAACAAGATCTACAAGTAGTATGGCTTCTCCAAACATCAAAAATAATAAATATAGAGTGATATTGTTCTTTATCTAACTTTTCCAACTGGAAGTCCAGTTTGTGTAACTGGAATAAACCAGACCATCTTTTGAAGATGGAGGTGGGCCTAACACTGTCTGACTTTGGACTTGCAGTGGAGGGTTGTGTATCCATGCATGGCTGTTGGCACATGGATGTGACTTTAGAAAGTACTTCAAAATGCATCTTTTTTCTTAGCATGTTGTAGATGGGGTCATATTGACAAGCCTTTGTGGCCAGGGATTGTCTGACAAGGATGCTGACAGAAAGCTAAGCACATAGATGTTAGAATAATCTGGATCCAGCAGCATCCATTTAACAGTAGCTAATGCTAGTAGCCAGTTGTCTTTTACCCATTCTGACCTGAAGTTATTCCATAGAAATAGGTTTATACTTTGTGTGCCATTGATGGTTTCAATGCCAGAAAATCCACTTGTGAGAATATATGGAGTGGTAATAGTATGCAAACACTAACAGTATGGACACAACTGTTACAGTCTGCCCAGAGGTGTGCACAGGGGATGAGGGACAAACAGCGGCATAATCCCCCAGTTATTAGCAAGGACACAGGACTTCTCTTGCCCCAGGGAACAGCAATCTTCTTCAGCCTTGAGGATGTGACACAGAGCATGTCCCGTCAGGAGCTGTCAGATTCTTATTTCCACCCACATCCCTGAGTCTGCCACACTTTAAAACCAAAAATAAAAGTGGCATCATGATTTATGTATTCAGAGATGTTGAGCTGAGCCCTTCCAGGCATTTCCTAACTTCCAATGTTTCAGAGTGGTAGCCATTTTAGTCTGTAATAGAAAAAACTTAAAAAACAATGAATAGTCCTTCAACACCGTAGAGACTAACAAAACATATAGATGGTATCATGAGCTTTTGTGGGTACAACCCACTTCTTCAGATGAATGGAGTTTAAGGGGTCCAAGTTCCAAATAAATAGCAGAGAGAGTGGATTGGGGTGGGGGGCAAAGGAAAAGAGAAAATAAGTGCTTAAGAATACTTGGGACACAATCAGCTTCATTTAGCATGGAAACTCTAATTTATTATTTTCCTAACTTCCAAAGTGCATCACAATCCTTTATGTTTTGATACACGACTAGACAATTATATCCAAGACTCAAATATGGAAAACTCATACCTAATTTCATATGATGATTTCATTTATGGTTACCTATGGCAAAAGCAGGAGTCAGTAATAATGCAAGATACGTGAGACTGCAATAGGGAACTTAAGGCAGGCATCTGAAAGAGAAAAGAAATATGGAGGTGAAGTGATTTTTACATTTACTTGAATCCCCCTTCTTAAATACATCAACATAACCACCTGTTTAGAGACTCACTTTAGCATCTAGATCAGTGTTTCTCAACCTTTTTTTTTTATAAAGCACCCCTTTAAAAAATTATAAGTACTCCCAGCCCCCCTGTTCTAACCCAATGCACCCACCCTTTCCCCAGAGCAAGGCACTCCCAGCCCTCCCCCCGCTCTAACCCAATGCCCTCCCCCTGTCACATAGCCAGGTACTCCCAGACTCGCTGCTCTAACTCAATGCTCTACCCCTCCTGCATAGGGTTGCCAGATGGTTTCAACAAAAATACTGGACATGCTTGACATTACATCACAATCTATATTACATCTTATTTAGAAAATACTGTACTGGACATTTATATTTTCTCAATTTGTTTCCTGAACAGAAAGCTCAAATACTGGACTGTCAAAACTGTACACCTGGCAACCCTATCCCTGCAGAGCCAGGCACCTTCAGCCCCCCTGCTCTAATGCAATGCCCCTCACCTCCCCCAGAGCCAGGCACCAGACTTATGGTAACTCTACCTTTGAAGTGCCCACTTCTGTGGCTCTGCCCTTTCTCCACAGCTGCAAGTGGCCCGCCAGTGTCAAGCTCTCTGCATGAGGCTGTGCTCTCCCACATATGGGATGTATTACCAGGTGTGTTATGAGCAAGACACGAGAAGTCATTCTTCCGCTCTACTCTGTGCCGGTTAGGCCTCAATTGGAGTATTGTGTCCAGTTCTGGGCACCGCATTTCAAGAAAGATGTGGAACAATTGGAGAGGGTCCAGAGAAGAGCAACGAGAATGATTAAAGATCTAGAGAACATGACCTATGAGGGAAGGCTGAAAGAACTGGGTTTGTTTAGTTTAGAAAAGAGAAGATTGAGGAGGGACATGATAACAGTTTTCAGATATCTAAAAGGGTGTCATAAGGAGGAGGGAGAAAACTTGTTCATCTTTGCCTCTGAGGATAGAACAAGAAGCAATGGGCTTAAACTGCAGCAAGGGAGATTTAGGCTGGACATTAGGAAAAAGTTCCTAACTGTCAGGGTGGTCAAACACTAGAATAAATTGCCCAGGGAGGTTGTGGAATACCGATCTCTGGAGATATTTAAGAGTAGGTTAGATAAATGTCTGTCAGGGATGGTCTAGACAGTACTTGGTCCTGCCATGAGGGCAGCAGACTGGACTTGATGACTTCTCCAGGTCCCTTCCAGTCCTGGTATTTTATGATTCTATGACCAGTCTGGTGCCCCCCAGCAAGGTGCCCAGGGGCAACTTCCCCCCCCTCACTATGCCACTGATGCGGGGGGGAGGGAGTCCTTTGGCACAAAGCTTATTGTGCCATTTCACTGCCTTTTAGCTCCTCTCTGCTGCGCCACGGGGAAGGGGTGATGGGGACGCATTGTACTGAGCTGCTGGCAGGGGTGGAGGTAATGCGCGTTTCCAGGTTCAGCCGCCCTCCCTGTTGGAGCACCCCGGGGAGGCTGCCGGAGAGGAAACGAACTAGGAGAGGCGGCTGTGGAAGCGATCTTTTTTTCTCCTTGCCCAAACCTGCTCCCCAACTTGGAACTGCCCTGGTTGTCACCGGAGCCGCCGCTGCCGCAGCCACGCACTTTCCCCGCCAGCACTGCGGCGCGTGCACGGAGCAGCTGTTAACGTCCGGATGCACAGCTCCAAACATTCAATTTGACAGGCACGTGCCACCGCCCCCTCCCCGATCCCCTTTGCAGGGCAAAATTCCGGACATTTTTTGCCAAATTTCACTTTTGTGGATGTACTCTCCAGACTTCTCTCATGTACCCTTAAGGGTATGCGTACCACTGGCTGAGAAACACTGGTTGAGATAGTGCTTTATTCCTGACATGAGGGCAGGGGACTGAACTTGGCGACCTCTCGAGGCCCCTTCCAGTTCTAGTGTTCTGTGATCCTACTTCCACCTGGTGACTTAGACCCAAGTCCCTTTTAGTTCTGATTTAGTCACATTCTTCCACACCTTTGGGTCCTTGCTTCAATGAAACATTTATAAAAACTAAATCTGACTGGACGTTTTTTATTTGGAAAAAAATTATACATGTTGCTCACACACGGAAACAAATCTTGCTCTGGGGAGGGATCCGGTGCCCTCTAGGACCCAGAGGAAATAGACGCTGAGTCACCGGCTGGGCCTTTCCCTCCATTGACGGAGGCGCAGCTGGTTATTGTGACGTCACAGAAGCAGCTCTGAGGTCCTGCCCCTGCTGCTGGTTAATGTCACCCTAGCCGCCCAGGCGGCAGGAGCTGAGCAGCAGCAGCGAGAAATGTGTGGGTCTGGACCCCAGGGGCCCGGATCTGGTGATCACCTCCAGTCGCGTCGCTAATGCTCCTAGTGGGGGACAGAGCCAAGGTAAGACGAAAGAAGGGGTGGAGACTCTCAGGGGGCCGGTTCCGAAACACTCCAGTCCGGGAAGGGGTTTAAAGGAGCAGCCCCGCTAACCCATGCTGCTTGCCTGCCCTTCTTCGCAGGCGAAGGCGCTCCCTGCAGTCAGGGCACTCTTGCAGACCCCGCAATCGCTGTCTCCAGAGCCCAAGTCTCTTCCCGGACAGGGAGGGGAGCTGGGGGGAAAGCAGCTCGTTCCTTGAGGCGTTTGTAAATTGAGTGGTTGTTGCTAACGTACACAAGTGCTGCTGTGTTTTCTTTTTTCGAACGGAGTGGGTGTGGGGAGCGTGGAGCTTTAGTGTCTGCTCTCTGCTAAACAACCAAGGCTTAAAATGTGAAGAGGGAAACCTGAGGACAGAGAGGCCAGTCTGAGGGGACCAGACCCTCCAGTCATAGGTGTGTGGGGGATCAGTAGGTTGAAAAGTACCTAAACAAAAGGAATTGGGGGTTGTGTCTCCTGCTCCTACGGAGAAGACTTGGCAATACCTGACATTGCTTTGGCTCCTAAAAGTAATTATTTTCTCTTGCTGTTTTGTCTTCTATCTTCACTTACCCAAATCTAATCATGAGCGAGGGAGTGGAGCAATATATTTGTTTCCTAGATCTTTCTGGCCTCTCTGTCCTATCCCCTCCCCTGTTCCCAGGCTTTACCAAATGTGAGAGTTGTGTTGGCAATTTGCTACAATCCTGAAGGCCACACAATACATGTACAAAATAGAACAGATCACCCTCATCTTTAACGTGGAGGTCCAGACCTCCAAAAAATTACAGATTCTAGCCTTGTGGGGCTATGAGAAATGTGTTTGATCCAGCTCCCAAAGGAGGGGTGCTCATATCATTCAAACTGCTATCTCTGTGGTTCTCAATCTTTCTAGACTGAGATTACTGTACCCTTTTCAGAAGTCAGATTTGTCTTGCATATCCCCAAGTTTCACCTCACTTAAAAAGTACTTGCTTACAAAATCAAACATAAAAATACAAAAGTGTCACAAAATTATTACTGAAAAATTGCTAATTTTCTCTGTATTATGACATTTTAGTTTGTACAAATTTTGCTAGTGCTTTTTTTGTAGCCTGTTAAAATTAAGTAAATGTCTATATGAGTTGATGTACTCCCCTCAGACAACCTCTGTGTACCCCCAAGAATACGTATACCCTGGTTAAGAACATGGTAGGCACTGAATAAAGTGAACTACAGAGTAGGGATGTTAAATATCAGTTAATTAAATAATGGATTAACCTCATGAATTCTTATTGGTTAGTCGACTATTCTACAGTTCCTGGGGATGGGGCCAGAAGTCAGTGTGCTCCGGCCTCACTGCCAGGGAATCCCTTGCTACTTATTGCTGCTCTCTCTATCAGAGGCAGCAGCATGGGGTGCCAGGCGGGAGTTGATCCGCAAGGGGAGACAGTTTAAAAACCAGCTATCCTTGTGGACTGGCTGCCTGTTGCCCTATGATGCTGCTTCTGATACAGAGGCAGCAGCGCAGGCTGGCAACAGCCCCTGTCTAGGGGAGGAGTTGAGCTCCCGGACCTGGTACGAGCCAGAACTGAACTGGGCTGCCTGCCTACCTGGCTCCTAATACACTTTTAATGCAGAGCCACAGCGAGTGTAGGTCCCGGACCCGGCACAATCCAGGACTGAGTTGGGCTGCTGGCCAGCCGGCTAAAAAAATTTACTGGTAGGTGTGGGGGAATGCATGTAGTCTATAGCATTAACCAATAAGCTTTTGCTTATCGATTAATCAGCTAATCGACTACACTATTACATCCCTATTACAGAGACTGAACTTTCTAGAGCAGCGGTTCTCAAAGTGTGGCCCACAACCATCTTGTAGGTGGGCTGCAGGCTTGAGGCTTGCCCTCTGTCCTCCAGCAGTGGGGAGCCGACGCTGACACTGCAGCCCTGCGGTCTCCCTACAAGGTACCAGCACTGGCTTCCCACTGTGCAGGGGTAGAGGGATGAGTGGTGAGCCTCCGGGGCCAGAGCTGGCTTGCAGGGAAGGAAGCGACTCCATGTGCTGCTGCTCCCCCAATGCCTGGAGGTTTTCCCCACTGCTCCCATTGGTCGTAGTCATGGCCAGAGGGAGCAGTAGGGGGTGGTGCCTGGGAGTGACGGGGTGCATGGAGCCAGATAAGCACCTCTCGTGCCCAGACCCCACACTTATGCCCCGCTCCTGCATCCAACCTCACATCCAGAACCCACACCCTTCTGCACCCATTTTGTCATCATGGTTGGCTGGTGGTCTGCGGAAATGTCTGCATTGGGGTGGCCTGTGGGCCAAAAAGCTTGAGAACCACTGTTCTAGAGCAATGCTGAGACACATTGACAAAGCCATGTAGAAAACTTCTGCTGGTGCTGCGTGTACTATGTCATTAGAGGACATCAGTCTCCATTCAGGGCTGTCAATTGGTCTCTTTCGTTATAAGCGTTACACACACTGGGGTTACAAGGCCGAACACTGCCTAGTGCAAGAATAATTGAGGGGACCCCCTTGTGATTCCAAAATACACTCTGCTTTAACTCCCCCACAAACCAACTTGTTCCCTCGCCCAGTGGTTCCCAACCTTCTTTATGCTGCGGTCTGGCAAACCCATTCACAAACGTTTGGTGGACTAATAATTTATCTGCATATTCATTACACTTTATTTGCATATTCATTATTTGCATAAGGAATATGCAAATAAAATGTTGCCTGTCCACCTAGCCCTAACCCAGTCTCTTGCTCCCCAGTGCCTAACACCTTTTGACCCATGCCCTGTGCCCTTTGACCCTCTGACCCCTACAGCTTATACCAACAACCCCTTTGCCCCACCCCATTCCTGCACTCACCAGAGTGAGGCTGCCCCTCTAGGGAACATGGCCGTTATTGTCATGTGAATGGGGGGGCGGCTGTTGGTGGAGGGGGTGGGCCGTTGGTGCATCTTGCACATGGCTGCGGGGAGCGCAGAGCCCAGGCCAGCTGCCATTACCGAGGTGGGAGGGAGGCACCTCCTGCTTTGCCTCCTCCTCATGCTCCCGGGGGCAAAAGCGGCCGTGCAGGTAGGGGCGTGAGGGAGTGCGGTAGGGATGTAAGCGACTAGTCGACTCCCCGATAAGCATATGCGAATCAGAGAGAGGCAGCAAGGGGACAGGAGCAGAAGCCGGTGCTGGCGGGTGCTGGCTTAAAAGCTGTTTTCTCCAATCTC